CCAACCCTGAGCACTCTGAGCAACACCAATCAGCCCAGCTGTGGAGACCTCAGCCAGCAGCCCACCCTGGGTGTGTGTGGGGCATTTCCCCTGATGCTGGCCTGCAGGAGACCTCTGCACTCTTTCTAGCATTTGCAAGCCCAGGCTTGCCCAGGTTTTTCAACCCTAGAAATACAACTCCTCTGCCCTGCCCTCAGACAGGGTCACATTAATGCACCCAGAGACCTCCCTGGACTGAGGCTGACAAGGGAAAAACCTTTTTGGCTTAGTGTGAAATATCCATTTCTGAGGAGCCCACTGCTTTGGGATTGGTGTCTGATGCCCTGCAGTGTCATCACACAATCACAGGGTCATTGAGCTTGGAAAAGCCCTCCAAGATCATCAAATCCACCTGTGCCTGGTCCCCACCATGTCCCCAGCCCAGAGCTCTGAGTGTCACCTCCAGCCCTTCCTGGGACACCTCCAGGGATGGGGACTCCAAACCTCCCTGGGCAGCCCCTGCCAAGGCCTGAATTTCCCCTTTCCATGGGGAATTCCTGCTGCTGTCCACCCTGAGCCTGCCCTGGCCCAGCCTGAGCTGTTCCCTCTCCTCCTGTCCCTGTTCCCTGGAGCACAGCCCGACCCCCCGGCTGTCCCCTCCTGTCAGGAGCTGTGCAGAGCCACAAGGTCCCCCCTGAGCCTCCTTCGCTCCAGGCTGAGCCCCTTCCCAGCTCCCTCAGCTGCTTCTCATAGTGTTGGGATCAGATTTGGTTGCAGAAAACCAAACTGCCCACTGAGACATGACTGCAGATTTGAAAAGTCTCCTTGGCTCATTGGCTTCAGCCTGAATTTCTCTACAGTGGCAGGTTTGTGACTGTCACCTGTATTATATTGATTTCTTAGGGCCAGATTTTTATTTGGGAACATATTTTCCATTGGAACTGAGAGCAGGGTGCTGGATTTATTTTCCTGGTTTGTTGAGTGTCAGAGAAAAATACCTATAAGTTGTGTGTATGCGTTCATTTGTATCTGCAGAGGTTTTTTTTTTTTTTCCCCTTTTGTAAATGAGAAGAGATTTTGATACCAAGTCTTTGCAGCGCAAATAACAAGAAAAGCCATCAGCCCAGATTACACAATTCCCAGTGAAATGAGGCTCGGAGAGGCCAGCAAGGAGATGATGAGGGCTGTACCTTTCCAGGTCATCAATTTGTCTGTGAGTTCATTTTCCCTCTAAAAAATGAACATAACAATACCCCTCAGATCCACACTAATAGATGATTTGTTATTTGTGAAATGGGGATGAGTTTCTGCAGAGAAATACTTCCACAGAAAGGACATTTCACAAACACTTAGTGATGGATTTAATTCCTTCCCCCTGTTGCTCAGGTACTGCACTGACAGTGGCACGGAGGATTGGAGGAGTCTGATCCCATTTTTCACACAAACATTTAATGAGCTGACATTACATCCCTCTCAGCCTGTGCCTGTGGATTCCTGCAGCCCATCCATTGGGGCCTGACAGCTGAGTCAGGGCTGGAAAACTCCCATAAATCTGCTTTAGTGCTCACTGGTGTTTAGCTAACAATAGAACATTATCTCATTGGGGATTGAAATTAAATCATTGCATTTCCCTGCTTTAATAAGACACAATTAATGCCTGTTGTGGCTGGGTCTGGGCTGCTACCCGTTGGCAGCTCAGTGAGGTCTCTGCCTGAGTGACCTCAGCTGGACCCAGCACAGGATTGTGTCACAGGATCATGGAAGAGTTTGGACTGGGAGGGACCTTAGAGCTCATCCATGGGCACCTCCCACTATCCCAGGTTGCTCCAAGCCCTGTGCAGCCTGGCCTTGGACCCTTCCAGGAGTGGGGCTGTGTCCCCCAGAGCATCCCTGAGATGCTGGCACTGGCACAGGGCTGGAGCCAGGCTGAGTACCCAGCTGGGCAATGCTGGTTTTTCACTCCCTTGCCCATTTTAACAATGCAGGAGCCCTGGTTCACGGCTACAAACCACATCCAGTTTCCATCTGGGCTGCCAGCGAGGCAGAATGGATCCAAATCTAAACCCACAGCAACTCCAGCCTCAGCTCAGTCCCCTTCCTCAATGTTTGACCTGCTTCTGTCCCTGGGTGGGACCTGGCAGTAGTTGCCACAAGTCCTTGCTTGGTTGCCAGCAGGCAGCAGCTGAGAGAGCTCTTTTTGAGGGGCCCTCAGTAAACTAGCCACTGGGTATAGTAATCAATTGTTGGGGTACACAAACAGAGAGTGCTTTGGACCTTATTAGCAGAAGAGATTTGATAAACAAAATGCCTTGGCAAGAGCAAACAGAACTTTGAGGATTAAATCAAGATTGCAAGAGGATTCAATCAGACGGATTTACCAGAAAAAGAAAGTTACATCAGACTTCTGCAAGCAAAAGATGTTTCAAATGTATAAGTTTGTTTATGTGATCTTTAACCAATCATTGTAGTACACGTTACTAGTCTCCCTAAAATAGTATATAAGCGTTTGTATCCCACAATAAAATCGGATTCTTTGAGCACCTCAAAGTCTTCCCCATCTCTCTTTTTTGCTGATAATTAATAAGCTCTGCTTTATGCATTTTAAGAGGAAAATAAAAGGCCCTGACAATTTGCTCCCACTTGAATGCTGTTACCCTCCAGCAGAGACTGATGGGCTGGGAGAGCATTTCAATCCACTAAAACCAGCTTTCAGCAGCTCCTCCTGCTGTGGGCTCTCACCATCAGCCCCCCTTTGGTCCTTCACTAATGGCATCATCTCACACCAACCAGCAGAATTCAGAAATTCAGAGCAAGAGGATGCCTGGGATTGATATGGACCCAAAATCAGAAATGCTCCGGCTGATGAAACAGCATTGTGGCCATTCCTCCATTCCTGGGGAGAGCACACTGCTCCTACCTGGCACCTGCCAGCTGCTGGTGAGGAGCAAAAACAACTGCATGAGTTGTTTGAGCTGAAATAAAAAATATATATCTATAGAAATATATATGGTTTATATATGGTATATATGTGTATATATAAATATTGTTTAATATAAATATAAATAATATAAATGTATATTTTAAATATTCTAAATAAATTTAAAATATATGTATAAATTATTATATTTTAATTTTATTTATAATTTTATATTTACATAATACTTATAAAATATACAATATAAAATATTTATATATATAGCCTATATAAATATTCTATAAACATCAAATTATTATTATATAAAGTAATATTAATATCATTGTAGAAATAAAGTATTATTAATTATATTTATTTATATTTTAATTTAATATTTAACTATTTTATATTTATATTATAAATATAAATAATACAAATATAACTATAAATGGACTTTTGGACCAGTGACCTCTCTCTCTCTGCCCTGGGAATGTCCCAAACCCTTGTGCTTTGCTTTGAAAAGTGCTGACCTACAGGTCCAGCCTGTGTGGCTCCTTCTCTGTGGATCATAAGGCTCCGTACCTTCAGATCCTGCTCTATTTCTGAGCCTCTTCAGATACACAACAGAGCACAAAAAGACTTGAGAAAGACTTAAGAAGATTTAAGGGGATATTTAGGGTGCTAGAGAGAAAGCAGTGTGTGTGCACTCAGGGTGCCTTAGGGAGAGCCTAAGGGGAAAAGAAAATTCCTCCAGGTTACAGGAATTTTATACCTTACAAAAAATGATGCTCAGGCAAGATGTGAAGCTCTCAGAAAGGACACGGGGACATGCAGGGACTGCCTGGGGAGCTGTGGGCTGGGAAACAAGCCCAGCACGGGAGAGTCAGAATTCAAAAGTTACCTAAAATGAAGTAAGGGGTGGCCAAATGCTGCAAAAATGCAGCTGCAGAGAAGGTGATTGTGGCACTGGGACTCTGCAGACCTTGGGCTCCTCTTAGAATCCTGGAACCGCAAAGTATCCTGAGCTGGGAGGGACTGAAGGGATCACCCAGCCCAGCCCCTGTCCCTGCCCAGACCCCCCACCAAGCCCACCCTGGGCATCCCTGGCAGCGCTGTCCAAAGGCTCCTGGAGCTCTGGCAGCCTCGGGGCCGTGCCCATTCCCTGGGGAGCCTGGGCAGTGCCAGCACCCTCTGGGGGAAGAACCTTGCCCTGATCTCAGCCTGAGCTGCCCTGGCCCAGCCCCAGCCGTGCCCTGGCTCCTGTCCCTGTCCCCGAGCAGAGATGGGAGCTGCCCCTCGGGAGGAGCTGCAGCCCCGGGGAGCTCTGCCCTCACTCTGCTCCAGCTGAACAATTCCAGTTTCCTCCAATCTCCCCTTCTGCTCCACCTCTGGATGAACACGGGCTTCATTTCCCCACTGGGGTGGAGGCAATGGCATCCCCTGCCCTCTGGGACTGGGCACCAACGTGCTTTTGCAAGGAGTCAGATATTGGTGCTGAGAGCTGTCTGAGGCTCATGTCACAGTGTCAGTGACATGAACAGTGCTCCTGAGTCATGCTAAGGTAAAGCAGAATCTTGGTAAATTGTCTCTGTTAGACAGATTTCCTTATTTCAGTCTCCCTGTGCTCACACTCTGCCTGATCCAATTCCTTGCTCTGTGCTTTTTGCTGCTGGTCTCCCCTTGTCCCTTCTCAACCCACCCATTTCCTTCTCCTTTTTTCCCTCAAACCAGGAGTTGTTTTGGAATATGTGGAACACATTTTCACCCTTCCCTCATGAAGATGAGGACTTTACACATATTTGCAAAAGCCAGCACTTAAAATAAGACTTTAAAATCAGAGTGATGTTCACATCTCCTGGCAAAAAGCTCTTTGGAACAGACACCCCAGGGCACATTCAGAAATATTTGTTATTTCCTCAGCCATGCACTGGACTGAGTAATTTGAAAGCTTTTTTCTTATTTTCATTTTCCCCCCACTACTCTATCTCTTCACCAAGAGGAGCCTTTATTGGAAAGGTTAAGATGTGCACAATTGACTTATTTGTGACCCTGGGCAGTATTTGCATTAGAGATATGACTAATTGCCTGTGTTGTTTAGGGGTCTTACCTGTCCTGATGGGTTTTTTGATGCCCTCCATGGCAGGATCAGCTACCTGAAAGAGAAGAAAGAGTGGAGATGGATTATTCTGGGAATAGAAAATACCCATTTAATGTGCAACTGTGGATCTGAAACATTTCTGATTTTTTCTAACAGAAAATCAACATTTCTGACACAGCCAGATTGTTTCAGTGCAGTAAGAAAATTATGTGGGTTCTCTTGGGGCTGTTTCAGAAGCACAAGTCCTAAAAATCCCTCTCTGTGCCTGATTTCAGGGCTTGGAGAGAGTAGGACAGAGTGGGACGGGACAACGTGGAGAGCCACGTGTCTGGGAAAGATCATTAAAGTCCCAAACAGGTCTGAGCATGACATGATGTCCTGCCTCACCTCTCATCCTAATTCTTGCTGAGATGTAAAACCAAGGATGAAAATGGCACAGGAAATTGTCCTCAATCAGCATGACATGAGAAATTCCCAGAAAACCAGCTCCAGGGGTGAAATGCAGCAGGATTCCTCTGATGACACCTTCCTGTCACCCAAACACACATCCCAGATCTCCTGGCAGCTCATAAATGCCCTCAAGGGGTAAAATATTCTCCCAGCAGCTGAAGAGAACACTGGGCATTCCTTGTTGCAGTAAGGTAGAAAAATTATAAAGAAAAGCCATATAAAATCAGGCCTGCTCTGGCTGGCCTGTCATTTCTTCTAAGTCAAGCTGGCACTGTGCAAGTTCTCATGTGAAAGCAATCCTGGTGTGAGCAGTTCGTTAGCATAACAATCTATTCCTGGGGAAAAAACTACTTGCACCTGTATAAACTGGTTTTATACTGTTAAATAGATAAATGGAAACCATCTCTCACAAACAACTTTTCCTGCACGTACACCCCGAGGGTTTGAGTGACCAATGAATACAGAATAACAACTTGTTAATGACCAATAAAGTAATTGGCAAGAAAGCTCCTGACCAATGGGAGTCCCACACGAGGTCTGTAAAACTGTATGAAAAGGAGTTATGTGAACAAAGAAAGGGTTTTTTTCCCACATGAAAAAAATGGAGTCTGTGTGATTTGCCTTCAGCTGGCAGTGCTGCTGCTGAAGTGCACCCCTGACAGTAACATCCTAATGAATCTCCTTCCATAAATCACATCCTTCCTTCATGAAAGCAAATCTCTGACTGGAAATTTAAAAAAACTAATTTGGAATTGTACATGGCATGTACCTCATGGGGCAGATAATTAGTAAAGTTATTTTCTACTTTCTTTATCTTTTACAAGAAGGAAGTTACTTTGTCTAATCTTCATGGAATTTAACATAAGATACTTATGGAGTGAGCCAGACCAATGAATACAGAACAACTTGTTACTGACCAATAAAGTAATTTGCAAGAAAGCTCCTGACCAATGGGAGTCCCACACGAGGTCTGTAAAACTGTATAAAAAGGAGTTCTGTGAATAAAGAATGGGCTTTTTCCACCATGAAGGTAATGGAGTCTGTGTGATTCATTCCCATTGCTCCTTGCTGTGTGTCACATCCCTTCTGTGTCACCCTGGGTGATCCCACAGGGATTTCAGTGACAGGGAGTGGGCTCTGCTCAGGCTGGGCTGAACCAGCTCCTCTTACCTGGGTGCAAATTACCTGGGCTAATTGTGCAGGCTGATCAGGCCAGGTCCAGCTTAGCACATTGGAAGGGATCCATGAGGATCATTGAGTCCTTCTCCCTGCTCCTCTGTTACCTAAAATTAAACCATAGGACCTAAAAGCTCTCCCAGTTTCTCCTTGAGCCCTGTCAGACTCAGTGCCCTGAGCACTTCCCTGTTCAGTGACCCACCAGGATGTCCAGGAAGGAGAAATCTGGGAAACTCTACCAGCTTTAAGACAGCATCTGATATCTCCTGGGAAAAATTGGGCGCTGCTGTGGTGGGAACAGCTTCATCCATAGTGGTGTTACAGCACAAACACCTAGTTTCTGTGTGAGAAGTGGATAATGGGTGTTGTGAGGAGGAAGCTGGTTGGACAAGGAGTGAAGCTGTGTTGGGCCTGTTTGTGGTACTTAATGTTCTAATCTTAAATGTTTAGGAAGGTTTTTAATTAGATTTTGGCTTCATGTGCCATGTTTTGAACAGCAGTGGAGTGTGGAGCTGCATCTGCTCCCAGCAAAGAGTTTGTTACGCTTTGGTCTGATGCCAAATGCTGTGTCCTGCAGAGGTGACAGAGCTGCTCCCAGGGGACTGGGCAGTGGCAGGTTAATGGCTGGACTCGCTGATCTTTGCGCTCTCTCCCAGTTTGAACGATTCTGTGATTCTCCAGGAATTTGGAGATCTGTAATTTGTTCATTTTCCCTCTCCACACCTGTGTAAGGCAGGGCAGAGTCACCTGCTGAGCCAATATTTCTCCAGGTCACCTTCCTGAGCTGTGCGGGGAGGTGCTGGGCAGCAGGAGAGCAGGAACCCAGACATGGAATTTGAAAAAATGGATTTCCAAGCTTTTTGACCCTGACACAATATCCTCCCATGGGAGCTCTCATGGATCTCATCATGTATCACCAAATGTTAAACTGAGCAGGGTTTGGGCTGAAAACACTCCCAGGAATCTCTGCCAGCACCTCTCAGCTCCTTGCCTTGCCCCTGCCCTGGGCTGTTGTCTCACACACACTCAGGGCACAGGCAAGTGTTGCTGTTCAATGCAATATCTGAACATTCCTGCTCTCTGTGGAGAATTCAGGATATTTTAGGTGACAGAAAAATAACCCTCTGCCCCCAGTGAGATCGCACTCAATGAAATCAGGCAGCCAGGGAGGTGTTTGCCTTGCTGGTGGCTCAGAGCCTGCTCTGCACTCGGGGCATAAAACCAAAATTAAAATGGACTAAAGGCATTCTGTTCTCACCTGGGAAGGCTCCCAGCGAGTAAAATCAACACATAGAAAAGCAATTTATTTTAGTGACAATTGAGTAGATACTGAAATAAACCTTTAGGACTTCCTTTGAAATATTACTGGTATTATTTCTTTCTTTTCCAGCAGCAAGAATATCACATGTAATGCTGTCATTTGGAATGCAAAGAGGCACACAGGAGGATCCCAAACAGATTAAATTCTACAGTGCTAGCTAAGAAAAAAATTCAAGACAACAACTTTCATCCTGTCTGGAGTGACCTGGGGGCTGGTGATGAAGGAGCTCAGTCTTTACTCAGCAAGCAGAATAATTTGAGTTTGCTTTATTAGAGAAAATGATAATCAGGTGCCAGTGAAAGTGATTTATTTCTTCTTTCTCTTAATCCTTTTACAAGAAGCTTTCTCAAGCTGAGGCAGAATAAAGGGTCATTCTCAATTCCTGGGTCAGAACAGTGAATATTCATTGAACCAGACACCTCTGACCCTGTCAGGGTGGGCAGGCCCTGGCACAGGGTGCCCAGAGCAGCTGTGGCTGCCCCTGGATCCCTGGCAGTGCCCAAGGCCAGGCTGGACAGGGCTTGGAGCAGCCTGGGACAGTGGGAGGTGTCCCTGCCATGGCAGAGCTGGGATGGGATGAGTTTTAAAGTCCCTTCCAACCCAAACCAGGCTGGGATTCTGTGAAGTCTTTATCTACTCTAGAAAGTCCAAGGAAAATCCCCCAAAGCAGTTCCCATAATGGGCCTGGGCTCAGGTATCTGGGCCAGGGCTCCCCAGGGGCATCTCCTCATGGCAGCTCTGTGGGGAGGAGCTCTTTGGTCCCCTGCCCTCAAAGAAGTGCTTCAATTCAAAAAGAAGCCCCAAGGCCCTCCTGTGTTTCTGCTCAGCCTCTAACCACCATGATTTCAGCAGGAATTTCCCCATGGAAAGGGTGCTCAGGCCTTGGCAGGGCCTGCCCAGGGAGGATTGGAGTGCCCATCCCTGGAGGTGTCCCAGGAAGGGCTGGAGGTGGCACTCAGAGCTCTGGGCTGGGGACAAGGTGGGGATGGGGAACAGGTTGGATTTGATGAAATTGGAGGTCTTTTCAATGATTCTGGGATTTATTCTATGACCCAGCTCCGGCTGGGGAAGATGCTGGGGGCACTTTCTCCTGAGGTGCCAAGAGGCAAAAGTTGAAGCTGGACATGAAAAGTGAAGACACTGTCCCCACTGTCCCTCATCTGGTAACCAGCCTCACAGGAAACAGAGTGAAAACCGGTTTATCCTGTGCTGACCAAAGCTGTCAAAGTGGCTCTTCCAGACAGCAGGTGACTGTCACTGCACAGAACACCCACAGCAAGAGCTGGGCCAGGGCAGTTTTTTCCTAAAATGCCTCCGTGGATTTCCTGGAGTGCTCAGTGAGTGCGAAATCTGCTTTTAGAGGAATTCTCAGTTGCCACAAGAGGGGGCACCCGGGGCCAAAATGAGTTTTTAGGAGACATAAAACCCCAACAAATAGTTCAGGATTGTGCTGGCTGCTGTATGAGTCATTCACAAATCTACTGTTAAAGTTCTTAACAGCCATAAAGAGCAGACCAGCAGATAGAAAAACCTGCTCTGACTTTAGTATTTGCCACACAGGTGATAAAAAGGTTTTCCCCACACAATTTAGAGGTTCAATAGATGAAGTCTACAAAATCCAGAGCAGTGATGGACTAACCCAGATCATGGACTCTGGACATCCACACAATTTGTCAGTGGGAGACCCAGGTGTCTGATGAACCTTTCTGTACAGCACCAGACTTGTGAGGGTCTGTGTGCCTTAAAATGACATTTTCCAGCCCTTCCTGTCCCATCCTCTGTCACTGGTTTGCCATCTCTCTCTCTGTACACACAAATATCTCTAAAGGTGTGTATATACACATCTATCCAGCAGTGAATGCACCAGGCACAAGGGTGGAGGGTTTAACACACTTATAACCAGTGCTAAGAAGAAAAATGATGGCTCCAGACCACCACACAGAGACTATGTTCATTCCAGAGGAAAATCGAGTCACTTGTGAAAGATCAACAATGGCCTGAAGCCAAGTACTTCTGCAGATGAAAGCTGAAGAAATGAACTGACTTCAGCACTGCAAATAGTTCCAAAAAAACAGAGTTTACCTCTAAAATTGACCCTTCCCAGATATAGCACTAACATGCTGTGCCACCCTTCTGAAAAACAAGGCGTAAAGGAAATTTCTTGGGGTGCTGGAAAATGGGGAGGTGTGATAATGTCTCTTAGAGGTGCTGTAGGATTCAGAGAAGCAGCTTTGAATCATAGTTGCCTTTTTCATTCAGCCTTTCATGTTGTGTTTCCCTTCTTTGGAGCACCCAGATTGTGGGGGTTGCAAGTGCCTGGTTTCTGCAGAATTTGATTTTCCTTTTCCAGTCTGTTTTCCTTCAACTTAAATTAGGCAATTATGAATTCATCAAAAGGCAGCCTGTGATGGGGGCAGGGACAGTGTGATCTTGTCACCACAAGCTTCTTAATGCTGTGATACCCAAGGGTCCAACCCCTGCACTGTCCCTGTGACCCCCAAACAGCCCTTGGACAGAGGGAAATAAAAGCTTCTCTCTCAGCTCAGCATGAGCAGGGTGTGAAGCTCCCCCTGAACTCACACACACAATCCAGCTGGCAACATCTGGAGGGAAAACCTCATTGTCCCAAGGAGATGATGACGCAAAATGTTGGTCCTTTTGTCAGAGTAATGAAGAAAATAATGAAGTCAGCTGGTAGTGCTCTGATCCCTCCAGCAGCTCAGGGCTCCAGGGGCTCCCCAGCCCCTCAGGTGCTGGCAGTCAGTGCTGGAGATGCTCAGATTCCCCAAAGATTCTGAGCCCAGCCTCACTCTGAGAGTGCAGCCGAGAGCCAGCCTGGAGTTCCCTGTGGAACCTGTCCCACAGAACCAGCCCTTCCTCTCTGCCCTGGGAGGTCAGGACCAGGCACAGATGGGGGATGACTGTTCTGCTTCTGAGCTCCCTGAGAGCAAAACACAACCTGTGCTTCACTGCCAAATTCTCCTCAGAGCATAAAATTGCTGCTTGATTTTATTTGTTCCTCACACCCCTCAGCTTCGTATTTCCTTCTTCAGCCAGCTCGTTTTCAAAGCAGCTGCACTGGTGTCATTACTCTTTTAAGTCAAAACCTTGGCTCTTTCAGCAATCTCGTTCCTCTGGCAACTCCTGTAACTGCTTTATCCTGATGGAGAGGTGATTTAATGCTTGCTTCCATAATCAGTACAAATGAAAGCCTCATTATACAGCAAAGCTGTGGCAAGTCTGTAATTACCTAGACTGTTATTTTAAAGATCTCCCCTGATAGCCCACTATTTCTCACTTAAAAAGCCCCATGTCTCATGTTAACTGTCCTCAAAGTGCTTCTCTTTTGGGAGAACACTGATTACAGGTAAATGATTCCTCTCTTGAAGGAGTATCAGTCAAGCCTTCCTGGTTTAATTTCTGGGTAATGTGCATACATGGGCACACAAATTGCACAGGGTAAATTTAGCAAGAGAAAATATTGAGTTAAAGGATCATATTTTGTTTTTCATGGCCAGTTCCTCCAGCAGCTCTGTGCTGGAGCTTTCCCTCCATGAACAGTAGTGGGGGTACCTCAGCACTTTGATTTTTGCAATAATATTTCAGCGACTATAAAACTTCTAACCTGGCATTTTACCTTGGTGAAGTTGATGGTAATGCCCCTACAAGGTCAGAAATTCACTTTTTATCCTCACAACCATCTGTCTCTGCTCTGGCTGTCACTGGTTCCCCATCAACCCCAGATCCATTCAAGAGCAATATTTTATTTTAAGTGACTGTTGGTAGAGGGAGGAGGTGTGTGTGTGTGACCTTGTGTCACTGATGTCCTTTCTACAACTCTGGTTGTGCATTAAAAATCCAATTCAAGGCAGGACTGAGGGGACAGAGGCACAAGGGAGCTCCTTGGCACCAGCACTGCTCGGGGTGCTTCGGGACAGCTCTGCCTCACCACATCAGCAGGCAGCACCACAGGGTGTCACAGAGCTGTGGCATGTCCCCTGCTGCAATCCATTTCACAGAACCAGAACAAACCTTCTCAAACACTGGTTGCTCTCCAAAGGGCCAACAGGAGACACACACCAAACCAGGTGGGACAGAGGCTGCTTGGCACCTTGGGTCAGGAGCCTTCTCTTTCCATTTACAGAGTAGGCACTGTGTGCCAAGAATAAATGTTGTCTATGGAGAAAGGTCCTCTTTTTCTGAAGTTCTTTTATCTGTGTTTCAACTTTCTCCTAATTCATGTGCGTGCATTTATAACAGAGGTAGGAACTGTTCTGGCCACAAAATGAAAAAGGGAAGGGAAGAGAAGAGAAGAGAAGAGAAGAGAAGAGAAGAGAAGAGAAGAGAAGAGAAGAGCAATGAATCAATCTCTTACTGTTCTCTGGACGACCAGGACCATGATGGTGGCCAAGGCAAAGACGAGCAACACAGCCAGGGTGGCGATGATGAAATACAAACAGATTTTGTTAGTGGCTCCAAGCCTCCTGGAAACAGTGTCTTCATTCACATTCATGGCTGATTCATGCGAGTCCTTCACCTGAGCAAGTGTTTGCTCCTGTTCCTGGCACATTCTTATATAGCTCTCCCGGCACTGCTCTGTGTCTCCCCTTGGTCAGGTTCAAGTTGCAGCCCATCTCTGCTCCTGGCAGGATTTTCCCCCTTCATCCTGCCTCATGTGATCTGGAAAAAAAACTTCATCACTTGCTGTACAAAGAGAGAGGGCCCCGGGGGCGTGAGGCAGGACGCAGCTGTGAGCAGGGGAAGGAGCTTCATGTTCTTGCTCAGGGATTTCTCCGCCGAGGTCCTGCGCTGCAGCCGAGGTTTCTGATGTCACAAGGTGCACAGACACCACGATCCCCCGCCCCAGGTTCTGTGAAATGGAGAGATATGCAAATTCTCTTTCATTTTATACTCCGTGCAGCTGCAGTTGGGCTCAGGGAGTCGCCCCGAGCTCTGCCTTCCTGTTGTGCACTGAAACCTCTGCTGCCTCCGAACAGGAGCCACCTCCAGAGCTCTGCAGCCACAGGTGGCCTTTGGGCAGCCCCACTGGGCCCTGGGGTGCTCCAAGCACAGCATCACATCCAGGGGACAGAGGGAGGAAGGAGATGGACCTGCTCTGCCCTGCACCTTGAGTGCTGGGAGCAGTTTTGGGCACCTCAGCAGGACAAGGACATGGGACTCTGAGGGTGTGTCCAGGGAGGGCAACCAAGGTGGTGAAAAAGGCACCAAGGGCAGGACTTATGGGGAACATCTGAGGAGATTTGGTTGGTTCAGGCTGGAGAAGAGGTGGTTGAGGAGGGGACCTCACAGCAGTCCAGAGCTTCCTCACAACAGGAGCAGGGCAGGAGCTGCCGATCCCCTCGCTGGTGGCCAGGACAGCTCAGGGGGAACAGGAGTGGAGCTGCATCAGGGGAATTCAGAGAGGACATTATGGAAAAGCTCTCCCCTGAGAGGATAGCTGATCACTGGAATAGGCTCCCCACAGCACTAACCCTGTCCAAGGGTAAAGGAACCTCTGGGTGATCCTCTTGGTCATAGGAGTTTGTGTTGGGCACTCCTGGGAGGAGCAGGGAGTTGGACTCAATCCTATGGATCCCTTCCAGCTCAAGATATTCTATAATTCTATGATTACCCTTGTCTATGGAGGTCTGGAGGTATTTGGGTGAGATTTTCATTGAAGAATTTCACAGAAATGTGTCAGAAATACATTTCTGATGCAGGGTGCAAGTTCTGGGCAGAAAGGAAGCGGTGACACCGAAGTAGCTGAATGCAGAGGTTGGGATGTGCCCACAGAGGGTGTCAATAATCCCAGGTTTATCTGCAGACAGGGAATTCCTGCTCACTTCTATCCTGTCCTGGCTTGGGACTATCACCCTGGCTTTGTACAGAACTCAAGTAAGATTTATCTGGAAACATTCATTCTCTGTTCCATTGCTAAAGGACCCTGCATGTTTCTGTGCGATGACTCCTGACTTTCTGGCAGTCCAAGTCAAAAGACACCTGAGTTTTTCTGTCAATGTTCCCAGCTGGATATGTGTCCCCTTTTGAATCACATCCATTCAAGTTAATTTATTTAACAGGAAAACAAATCCTGGGTTATTTGTCTCTGCTAATCCCAATTTGATATTACAAGGGCATCAGAGAGGGCAAAGAGGATCTTACCAATGGTCCATCCAGCTCAGCACCTTGCCTTCAGTGGAGAGCAACAAGAAATTCATTGGGAAGAATTCAGAACAGAAAAACCAGGCATTCACTGAGTGCAATTCTCCAGTTTCCTCTGATTTGGGCTGGTGGCCTCCCAGATAAAAAGTATAACTTTTCAATTTTAATCCAATTGTTCTTTACACCCCTGACATGGCAGAGTTGTGGCATTTTCCTATCATTACCACTGTCTTTAATAAAATCACTGGAGCACAGCACTACAAAGGCTTCTACAGATTTGCAAAGCAGTGTTTTTCACAGCATCTCTTATCACCATGGGAACAGGCACAACCTGTTTTAACCAGAGACAAAGGGATGAGAAAATGGTCTCACTTGGACAAATCTGGCAGGTTGGGTGAGGTGGATCCTCACCTTCTTGGTGGATGCTAAACTTGTGGACATGAGAAGCAGAGGTTCTTGTTCTGGAAATTAATCTTTATTATAAAGGAAAGATTTACAAATTTTTGTGAACTGTGAAAGTTCATTTGACCCCTTAAGAGCAGCAAATCCACTCTTTGGGAAGCAGCACATGGAGATCTCCTACCAAAGTAATCCCCAGCCCTCCTCAATAATGTGACAGCTCTGAAATGCAGGAAAATCCAAATTCCCAGTGTCCTGCTGTGACTTTAGAGCAGGCAGTCAGCAACTCCTTCTCATGACTGAGCAGATACATGCCTCACTGGGGTAGATGATATTCCAGAGGATAATGGAGCTGTAGTTTGTGGGATGTCACCTTGTGTGGTGTCCTGAGGGTCTCAGTGAGCTCTTAGGCTTTTACACTGACACCTGGAGTGCAGGTCAGCTCTTCAAAGAGAAAAACACCTGTGCTAAACTCATGTAAGGACAAGCAGGTGAGGTGATGGCTGCAAAAGGAAAAGAGATCAGTCAATGTCAGTGAGAAAAAGTAAGATAAATTTGTGCAAACAAGTGCAATCCAGGTTAAACAAGACTTTCTGAGATAAATCTGGTCAGCCCATGAGCACAGCAGTGCGAACACACAGGGTGAGCTGGAAAGGCTGGAATCTGCTGGGAAGGTCCTATAATAACAGAATCCCAGACTGGTTTGGGTTGGAAGGGACCTCAAACCACCCCCTGCCATGGCAGGGACACCTCCCACTGTCCCAGGCTGCTCCAAGCCCTGTCCTGGCCTTGGACACTGCCAGGGATGGGGCACCCCCATTAAACAGGAGTTTTGGGGTACTCTGGCTGTATGTTCTGGCTTAGAGGTGGTGATGTGCTTTCAAACATAACATCATCACCCTGCACACCTTTCACACTCTCACCTGCCTGATGATGCTGATTCCCAGAGCACAGTTTCATGTTTTCTGACCAGTATTGCATCAGTTCTCCCCAGCTCTGGTTCAAGAGGTTAAATAGCAGGTGTTTGCCCCAAAGTTGCATCAGCACGAGCTGTGTCCTCGGCAGCAAAGGGCTTTGCATAACAGGGCAGGGAGGCAGAAAACAAGCCAACCACAAAACCAGCAGCTCTAATTATTTCTTGGTAGATATTGCAAGTGATTGCCTTTGTCAGGAGAAATACAAAACATCCCAGCCCATTGTTAGTACTTACTTTTCTGCTCCTTGGCTGAAAGGAAATGAACTCACTGAGAGTTGAGAACCCATCCATGGGGTCACTGGGAATTCACCCTTGACTGAAGTTGTGGTAACTGAAACTTTATCAAAGACAATAATGCCCAATTTTTGAGACATGTGTGGGCACCCAACTGCCACTGAAATCCAGGTGGGTGAAGAGTGTAGGTGCCTTTGGAGGTTCCTGGGTTGACATGTACTGTGTCCATTCCTTGTCAGAGCCATCAGCCGTGTTTACATCCATGTAGTTGACTCCCAGAACCTCATCCAAGACCTAAGAGACAAAATGAACCATAATGTCTGTTTTATTAGCCTGAGTGATTCCTGCCATCGTCCTAATGGAGAGCCATTGATAGCAGGGTTTGATGTCAGGCTCCTTATGGAATCAGGGAATCACACAGGGGTTTGGGGAGGAATGGACCTTAGAGATCATCCATCTTTGCAATGTCTCTCTCAGTTTGTGCAGGCTGAACAATTTAATCTTGCCCATTCTTGAATTCTGCCCCCCTCTTATGCCTTTCTTTGATGCCTTTGTGCAAATCTCTTGGGGTTTCTTGGGCACACCACACACAGCAGGTTTTGCTGGTGGAAAAGCAGGATTTTCCCCTGTCCAGAAGAGCTGGGCACTGAGATGCCTGAAGGACACTCAAGAGATCCCATCAACACAAGCCACTGCAACAAAAAGATTTTTCTGGCAGTTCTACTTTTCTAAACTTTTTCCTTAGATTTTGCACAGTGGAGCCCTGCCAGCCTACCTAGATCACAGAATGGTTTGGGTTGGAAGGGATCTTAAAAATCCCCTGGTCCCACCCCCTGCCATGGACAGGGACACCTCCCACTGCCCCAGGTTGCTCAGAGCTCCCTCCAGCCTGGAATGAGATGATTTCCAAGATCCTTTATCTTCAGTGAGAGACCCCAGTGGCTGCAGGGCTCTCCAGCCCCCCCTGAGATGGATTGTGTGTGCAGCTGATTGCACACTCATGAACATGTCAGAACATGTGGAGGGCATTTGATATGGAAATGCAAAATCAGTAAATTGAGGTGGCTGCAAAACACCAGAGCCCTGCGAGGATGAATCACCTCGTCGGGGGCTTTGTTTCCTCCGATGAATCACTGCGGGGTTGTGCTGGAGCTCTACAGCTCAGCCCTTGGCCAAGGCTGAAAAAGTTGTTTGGGTTTATTTTTAAACTGTGTTTGTTAGAATCTCTGTCCATTCACGTGGTCCTGAGCAAAGGAAATGACACTCCAATATCTCACTGCCAACCCTGCTGTGAGGATACCTTTGGCTATCAGCACAAAACACTCTTTTGAGGGAGATGCTGTCTATCTCCCATCTCTCATCCCAAACTCTTGGAGGGTTTCCAGGAATATCAACATTCTTTACTTATTTTGTTTCTCAAATAAGATCACTGGATAAAAATAGACATCAGACAAGAGGAATATGAGGGGAAAAAGGAAAGGTTAAAGCTGCCACTGAGCAGTATTATCTCCTTGGGAAGCTGCAGAGGTTTTATTCATGCTGTGCTGCTGCCTCCTTGCTCAAAAGAATTATATTACTCAGTCTTGTAAGAATATGGAAAATCAGGTGTATTAAATTAGCTGAAAATTGGTTATGGGGAAAAAACCACCTCTTGATACTGCAGTGGATGTGCATCATCCATCTCCTTTGGAGAGCAGAGGTGTTAGGAGAGATAATAAAATGCAATAATAAAACAATACAAATGGAACAGTTATAAAAGTGCAATAACTTCCACAAATTTGTCAGAGACAGAGTTTGCT